GGAATGTTGAGCTGAAGACAGAAACTCCAAAAGTGAGAGGTACGAACTAAGTAGCAATGACTGGCATGAACAGGGCACAAGAGTCTGTTCGGGTTTTAATGATTATAAAAGAGTGAAATGGAAGGGAGAGAGGAGAAAGGGAACAGTCTCCTCCCTGAGAGGTTTAAGACTTAGGGAGGAATGACCAGTCCGGAGAAATAAGAATATAAGGATGATGAAAAGGGGTACAGGATCAGTCAATAGCATAAAGATCTGAATGATGGCAACCACAGGGGAGAAGTAAGAAGAATATATCTGAAAAGTGAAAGAAGATGCAGGTTGCAAACAGCTCAAAGAGGCATGGGTAAGAGTGAGCAGGATGACACTGAGGTCCCAGTAAGGCATGACAACAAAGCAAGTGTGTCTGCGGATAAGGAATGATTGGAACAAGGTGGAAAGAACTGGAGAATAAACACCTTGTGGTATCGATAAAGGCAACATGTTGAAGAAAAGGCAACCTGATAACCAGCAATGGTGGAGACAGCTGTACCCTGTCAAACAACCAGGTAAAAGAAGAGGATATGTTCGATGGTAGGAAAATTAGGAGGAGAGTGGTGACAGATAAACCACCATCAAAAGAAATGTTTCTGAAAGGAGAAGGGAATTGAAGAATAGGTCCATGGATAAAAAAGTAGAATAACCCATAGAGGGCAAAATCGACACCAAATAGTCCACCCCCTAAACCGCCAAGGGCAATACTAAATGTGAGAATCATGAAAGGGGATGCAGACTAATCAAAACAGAGGAAATAATCAGATAGAGGGAAGAGGGCAAATATTGAGGTTGTGAAAATATAGATGGTCCATGAATTATAAACAAAATGAATTAGGGTTTGGATGAAGAAGCATGGAATACAAAGAATAGGATATGTAGGAAAGAAAAAGAAAGGTGAATATCAGAGAAACTAAGTCCTTAGAATGCGAGAAAGTTTAAAGTTTTTCTTTAACAGGGAAAGAAGTTCCCAAAG